CCCAGAAGAGGAAATTGTTGAAGAGACTATATTACCACTAGTAACTCCCGAATCTGTCAAACCAGAAGATGTAGAGGAAGTTCGAGAGCAAGTGACAGTAACAGAAGAAGAAGTGGAAGGAAAGAAGCCAACGAAAATCACGAAAAAGAAAATTATTAAACGTAAGGGACAGAAGCAACAAGTCACTGAAGAAGTTACAGTGGAGGAAAAAGGTAAGCATCCGGTCACTACTGTTACAGAAGGACCAACAGAGGAAATTGTGGAAGATATCGTATTGCCTCTACCAATTGCCGAGTTTGTAAAACCGCAAGATGTGGAAGAAGTTCGTGAGCAAGTGACAGTAACGGAGGTAATTGTAGAAGGAAAAATGCCAAAGAAAATCACAAAAAAGAAAATTATTAAACGTAAGGGACAGAAGCAGCAAGTCTCGGAAGAAGTTACTGTCGAAGAAAAAGGTAAATCTCCCGTTACTACTGTAACAGAAGGCCCAGAAGAAGAGATTGTTGAAGAGACCATATTACCGCTAGTAACTCCCGAGTCTGTCAAACCAGAGGATGTAGAGGAAGTTCGAGAACAAGTCACAATAACAGAAGAAGAATTGGAAGGAATGAAACCAAGAAAAATTACGAAAAAGAAAATTATTAAACGTAAGGGAAAGAAGCAGCAAGTCACTGAAGAAGTTACCGTCGAAGAGAAAGGTAAATCTCCCGTCACTAGTGTGACAGAAGGACCAACAGAGGAAATTGTGGAAGATACTATATTGCCCCTACCACTTGCTGAGTTTGTAAAACCGCAAGATGTGAAAGAAGTTCGTGAGCAAGTAACAGTAACCGAGGTAATTGTAGAAGGAAGGGAGCCAAAGAAAATCACGAAGAAGAAAAGCATTAAACGTGTGGGTCAAAAGCAGCAAGTCACTGAAGAAGTTACGGTTGAAGAGAAAGGTAAATCTCCCGTTACTACTATAACAGAAGGCCCAGAAGAGGAAATTGTTGAAGAGACTATATTACCACTAGTAACTCCCGAGTCTGTCAAACCAGAGGATGTAGAGGAAGTTCGAGAGCAAGTAACAGTAACAGAAGAAGAAGTGGAAGGAAAGAAGCCAACGAAAATCACAAAAAAGAAAATTATTAAACGTAAGGGACAGAAGCAGCAAGTCTCGGAAGAAGTTACTGTTGAAGAGAAAGGTAAATCTCCCGTTACTACTATAACAAAAGGTCCAGAAGAGGAAATTGTTGAAGAGACCATATTACCACTAGTAACTCCCGAGTCTGTCAAACCAGAGGAGGTAGAGGAAGTTCGAGAGCAAGTGACAGTAACAGAAGAAGAAGTGGAAGGAAAGAAGCCAACGAAAATCACGAAAAAGAAAATTATTAAACGTAAGGGACAGAAGCAACAAGTCACTGAAGAAGTTACAGTGGAGGAAAAAGGTAAGCATCCAGTCACTACTGTGACAGAAGGACCAACAGAGGAAATTGTGGAAGATACCGTATTGCCTCTACCACTTGCCGAGTTTGTAAAACCGCAAGATGTGGAAGAAGTTCGTGAGCAAGTAACAGTAACGGAGGTAATTGTAGAAGGAAGGGAGCCAAAGAAAATCACGAAGAAGAAAAGCATTAAACGTGTGGGTCAAAAGCAGCAAGTCACTGAAGAAGTTACGGTTGAGGAGAAAGGTAAATCTCCCGTTACTACTATAACAGAAGGCCCAGAAGAGGAAATTGTTGAAGAGACTATATTACCACTAGTAACTCCCGAGTCTGTCAAACCAGAGGATGTAGAGGAAGTTCGAGAGCAAGTAACAGTAACAGAAGAAGAAGTGGAAGGAAAGAAGCCAACGAAAATCACGACAAAGAAAATTATTAAACGTAAGGGACAGAAGCAACAAGTCACTGAAGAAGTTACAGTGGAGGAAAAAGGTAAGCATCCAGTCACTACTGTGACAGAAGGACCAACAGAGGAAATTGTGGAAGATACCGTATTGCCTCTACCACTTGCCGAGTTTGTAAAACCGCAAGATGTGGAAGAAGTTCGTGAGCAAGTAACAGTAACGGAGGTAATTGTAGAAGGAAGGGAGCCAAAGAAAATCACGAAGAAGAAAAGCATTAAACGTGTGGGTCAAAAGCAGCAAGTCACTGAAGAAGTTACGGTTGAAGAGAAAGGTAAATCTCCCGTTACTACTATAACAGAAGGCCCAGAAGAGGAAATTGTTGAAGAGACTATATTACCACTAGTAACTCCCGAGTCTGTCAAACCAGAGGATGTAGAGGAAGTTCAAGAGCAAGTGACAGTAACAGAAGAAGAAGTGGGAGGAAAGAAGCCAACGAAAATCACGAAAAAGAAAATTATTAAACGTAAGGGACAGAAGCAACAAGTCACTGAAGAAGTTACAGTGGAGGAAAAAGGTAAGCATCCAGTCACTACTGTGACAGAAGGACCAACAGAGGAAATTGTGGAAGATACCGTATTGCCTCTACCACTTGCCGAGTTTGTAAAACCGCAAGATGTGGAAGAAGTTCGTGAGCAAGTAACAGTAACGGAGGTAATTGTAGAAGGAAGGGAGCCAAAGAAAATCACGAAGCAGAAAAGCATTAAACGTGTGGGTCAAAAACAGCAAGTCACTGAAGAAGTTACTGTTGAAGAGAAAGGTAAATCTCCCGTTACTACTATAACAGAAGGCCCAGAAGAGGAAATTGTTGAAGAGACCATATTACCACTAGTAACTCCCGAGTCTGTCAAACCAGAGGATGTAGAGGAAGTTCGAGAACTAGTGACAGTAACGGAAGAAGAAGTGAAAGGAATGAAGCCGACCAAAACAACGAAAAAGAGAATTATTAAACGTAAGGGACAGAAGCAACAAGTCACTGAAGAAGTTACTGTTGAGAAAGAAGGTAAAATTCCAGTGACAACTGTGACAGAAGGACCAATAGAGGAAATGGTGGAAGATACCGTATTGTCTCTACCAATATCCGATGGTGAAATACAAATTAGCAAAGGAGCAACTTTTGAAGATGATAGTGAAGATAAACGGCCTATTACAACCGTAACTGATCTTCGTGCAGACACTACACCAGAAACACACGATAAACCTAAACACAAAAGATTGACAAAACACAAAATCGATGAAAAAATTATGAAAGGTAAGCTTTTTTATTGCTTATTACTATCACCAACGCTTGCATCCTGTTCATTGGGACATATTTATATATAGAATATCTAAACAGTCTTCTACGAACATTGGAACAGAACAAAAAGAACAAAGACAAGACAGTGTTAATTGTTAATTTGTTATGTTAACGCACTTTAATTGTAACATTAGAATTATTATTTTTACGTTGTAAAAGTTATTATTTTATTAAGTGTTTTCTTTTATACAAACTCCAGGTAACTTTATTTCGTTATTTTGTTTTGCAGGGACAAAGGAAAAACCGATGTATCAGGTAAGATAAAGTACGATTTAACTCTTATTTATTATGTCATAACACAATACTGTATTTATAGGAACAACAAGCAAAAGACGAAGTTCCAGAAGAAGTCGTGAATGAAATAGTGATAGAAGAAACAGAGAAACAAAAGGCTCGACTTCTGGTAGAAACAGAATCGGAAGAGTCAGCGAAAATTATGAAAGTAGAAGTTAAGAAGGCACCAAAAGAAAAAGTAGAAAAGCCTGTCATTGAAGAAGAAGAAGTGGTTGAAACTATTGAAACACCTACACAAAAAATTATTAAAAAGAAGAAACAACCGAAGGAAAAGGATAAGCATGTAAAAATAGCTGAGGAAGTGGAACAAGTAACCGAAATATTTGAAACACCAACCAAAAAAGTTAAGAAAAAGAAACACGCGACTGGAATCGATGATGTTCTTGAAGAAGTTGTAGAGGAAATTTTAGCGGAGAAACCAAAGGAAGAGAAAGCTATAACTGTTGTGGAAGACAAACAGGAAACAGTAATGGTAACAGAGATAAACGTGCATGAAGCACCTCTTAAAGTACCAGAAGAAAAACCGGATATCACAGAGGAAATAATAGAGAGTATCGAGACACCTACAAAAAAGATTATTCGAAAGAAGAAAATAACAAAAGATAAACATGAACAAATTGTAGAAGAAATTGTGCAAAAACCAGTTGAAGAAACCGAAATAATGGAGAAAGAACAAATAGTCGAAATCATTGAAACGCCAACAAAGAAAGTTATAAAGAAGAAAAGAGCGAAAACTCTTGATGATAAAGTGCCAGAAGAAATTATTGAAGAAATTATTATAGAGAAACCGAAGAAGGAAAAGGCTGAAACTACATTTTCTCCAAGGGAAAGCATCGAAGTAACGCAAACATTAACTGAATCGCCCGTTACAGAGTTAACAGAAGAAAAACCTAAGCCAAAAGAAGCTACAGTGCACGAAATTGAAGAGGAAAAGGTTACATTAAAAAAAGTAACAAGAGAAGAAACAAGCACAATTCCTACTCAAGAAGAAATAACTCTCGAAATTAGTAAGGAAATAAGCGAAAAACCAAAAGAACAGCAAGCGCAACCGACCATTATAACGAAAGAAGGGCTGAAAGTTACTGAGACAATTCCGGAAACGACTACAGAGGGACTTCTTGAAGAGACAAAACCAACGAAAGAAACAGTAGTTCAAATCGAAGAAATGCAACAACAAGCTGAAGTAAAAGAGGTTGCTGTAAAGAAAGCGCCTAAAAAAATTAAACCAAAACGCGCGGGTGAACAACAAGTTGAAGAAGAAAAAGTTGTTGAAGAAATTATTTCAAAGAAACCGATAAAAGAAAAAGCAAAAAAATTAATAATTGCACACGAAGAAATAGAAACTACCGAAACTGTTCCTGAAATGGCAGTCGATAAACTTGATGAAGATAGAAGACCGCAAGAAGAACAAGCCGTATCTACAAAAGAGACGGAAGAAGGTATAAAACTAACAAAAGTAACTGTAAAGAAAGCGCCGACGGAGAAAAAAGTTACAGAAAGTAAGGAGGATAGGCCGAGTGAAACAGTGGAAGATATTGAGTTGAAGAAACCTAAAAAGGAAAAAGCTAAAGAAGATATAATGTTAAAAGAGGGAATCGAAATTACAGAAGTGACACCAGAAATAGTACCTGAGGAACTTATATCAAAAGAGCTACCTACCGAAAAGAAAGCAAAATCGGATGTCACACCGATGGAAAGTATTGATGTGACTGAAGTTACTACGGCTATGGCAAATGGTGAAGTATTCGAGAAGAAAGAAGTTGAAATGGTTAAAGTTGAAGTAAAAGATGAAAAGGAGAAAAAATTAACTCGTGTTAAAAAAGAGAAAATTATCCCGGAAAAGAAACCTATTACCGTCGAAGAGAAACAAGAAGAAGAAAGAGTGGAAGAGATATTATCAATAAAACCTAAAAAGGAAGAAACAAAGATCAGTGAAGTTCTACCAGATACCTTGAAAGCGACAGATATTACTCCGGAAATTAAGATTGCAAAAATTCCAGAAGAGAAAAAACCCAAGGATAAAGAAGTAGAAATACTGCCTGTAGAAAAGAAAGAAATTGAAAAACCAAAAGAAGAAATTGTCTCTACTACAGAGGAAAAACCTACCGATAAAACGATCGAGGAAATAAAAGAAAAAAAGATTGTTAAAAAGAAGAAAAAGAAACCTGCCAAAAAGGATGATATAGAAGAATGGGTAGAGCCCGAGTATGAACGACCCGTATTAGAACCGATGCCTGAGAAAATTCAATGGGAGCCAACGAAAAAGAAGAAAGAAAAGAAAGTATTACCCGAATCTGCGCAAGAATTAGTCCCGCAAATGATCGAGAGGAAAGAAATCAAACCTACCAAATTAAAATACACTGAACCGGCAGAAACAGTTCAATTCGGAATGATTAAATTAAAGAAAGTAACAATTGTTAAGAAAAAAGAAGTCAGCGAACCTAAATTTCCTAAAATCATGTTACGTAGCAGAATTACATTCATCGGTGATTATCCGGCAGAATTACAGATACCAAAGATTACGTATATCGAAGAAAATCCAGTCCAAGTTGGTATTCTATCTAGAAATGCAGAAGAAGCTATAGAAGTGTTAAAGAAAAAATTTAAAAAGCGTAAGATGTCAGAGAAAGAATTAACTGAATTAGAAAAATTAGATAAGGAATTTGAAGAGCTGAAGAAAGTTCCCCTTGAGAAAATAGAAGATAAATCTATTTACGAACGAACACCTAAAAAGCCGGAGAAAACACCAGAAGAACCACAAAAGCTCGTTATAGGAAAAGGTGAACCAAAACAAGAACCTGAAGTTGCACCAGAAGAGGTTAAACTAAAGAAAATTCCAGAAAAGAAACCAGAAGAGATAACGGAATCCAAAAAGAAGCCTAAAAAGAAAGAAACAATAGAAGATGTGCCACAAAAAGAAAAAGAAAAACCCATAGAAAAATTAGAACATGATGAATTCAAGCCATTAGATTTTGATAGACCAGAAATTGAGAAATATGTACCTGAAGAATTTGAGAAACCAGAGAAACCAGAGCCTGAGCCTATCCTGAAGCCGTATGAGAAACCTAAGAAAAAGAAACCTGATCAAGACATAGAACAAATTCCGCTAGAAAAAGGAATACCAAAACCAAAGGAACCCGAGGAGGAACCTGAAGTTAAATTCCGAATACCAACATCAGAGAAACCAGAAGATGAGCCTGAAAAAATAACCTTGAAAGGTTGGAAGAAAGATAAACCAGAGGAAGAAGGCGAGATAGAATATCCCACTTTAGAAAAAGAAAAAGTTCCAGCAAAATCCCCGGAAGACATAGATGAAGTTACTATAAAACAAAAAATAAAACCAAAGAAACCAAAGAAAAAACAAATAGAACCAGAAGAAAGTACCGAAGAGATTAAGCTAAAAAAGATGCCCGAAGAAAAACCAGAAATTCCAACCGAAGAAGTTTCAGAAAAAATACCATTACAAAAGCCAAAAAAATCAATCGAAGAAGTCGCAGAAGAAGTGACGATTCAGAAACCAGTCGTTGAGGATAAGAAAGAGGAGGTAGAAGAAATTACTGAGGAAGTCACATTGAAGAAAAAGCCAAAGAAGAAGCCTGTTACAGAGGAGACTGCTGCTGAAATTATTGTAAAGAAACCAGTTCCAAAAGAAGAAGAGCAAGTGCCGGAAGAAGTAACTGAAAAAGTGGAATTAAAGAAACCGAAAAAGAAACCGGTGAAGGAAGAAGCCGCAGATGAGGTGACGATTAAGAAACCAGTAGTAGAGGAAAAGAAAGAGGAGGTAGAAGAAATTACTGAAGAAGTCACATTGAAGAAGAAGCCAAAGAAGAAGCCTGTTACAGAGGAGACTGCTGCTGAAATTACTGTAAAGAAACCAGTTCCAAAAGAAGAAGAGCAAGTGCCGGAAGAAGTAACTGATAAAGTGGAATTAAAGAAACCGAAAAAGAAGCCGGTAAAGGAAGAAGCCGCAGATGAAGTGACGATTAAGAAACCAGTAGTGGAGGAAAAGAAAGAGGAAGTAGAAGAAATTACTGAAGAAGTCACATTAAAGAAGAAACCAAAGAAGAAGCCTGTTACAGAGGAGACTGCTGCTGAAATTACTGTAAAGAAACCAGTTCCAAAAGAAGAAGAGCAAGTGCCGGAAGAAGTAACTGAAAAAGTGGAATTAAAGAAACCGAAAAAGAAGCCCATAAAGGAAGAAGCCGCAGATGAGGTGACGATTAAGAAACCAGTAGTGGAGGAAAAGAAAGAGGAAGTAGAAGAAATTACTGAAGAAGTCACATTGAAGAAGAAGCCAAAGAAGAAGCCTGTTACAGAGGAGACTGCTGCTGAAATTACTGTAAAGAAACCAGTCCCAAAAGAAGAAGAGCAAGTGCCGGAAGAAGTAACTGATAAAGTGGAATTAAAGAAACCGAAAAAGAAGCCGGTAAAGGAAGAAGCCGCAGATGAAGTGACGATTAAGAAACCAGTAGTGGAGGAAAAGAAAGAGGAAGTAGAAGAAATTACTGAAGAAGTCACATTAAAGAAGAAACCAAAGAAGAAGCCTGTTACAGAGG